AACAGGTTCAAACAATGTAAGTGCAAATACAACCAATAATTATTTTCTACAATAGCTAACTTTATCTTACTATAAACAACATAATAATATAATTACAGATGAAGACGCAAATTCAACTACTCGGATATGATAGTAAAATGACTATCCAATATGCAAAAAACATCCAAACAATAACTAGCCAAAATAATACATATAATGATAGATAAAACAACAATAGAATAAAAACCTAATTAGTTGTACAATGACTAATTACTAGACAAAATTTAGATTTCAAACCTATAGCTAAGTAACTAAACAAAACATTACAATAGAAGAAAGTATATAAATAAACAATAAGCAAAATTATAACCAACTATGGATAAATATCATCTAACCAACATTAAAAAAAATAGCACTAAACTCTTTAATACAACTATATAAAATTATATTAAAATTATAAAATTACTAAAAATTAAACAAAAAATAAGTTACAAACAAAATGTATTATTTATATAATTTATTTTGTAATTGAAGCAAAATTTAGATATTTAGATATTGCATTCTTCTTACCTTTATAAAAATAAAAAAATTTATACTACTACATTAAGCTGCTAATAAAAGCTCATTTAAAAAAATGCTAACAATATACAAAAACCTAAATATGATTATTATTACTAACAAAACAACTAAAAATTTAATATATTAATAACTTCGACAAAAAATTACAATAAATTCATTACTAACAAAAACTTTAATACATTACTTTCTAAAGAAATTTATCAAATATTTAAATATTATAGAGAATTTACAAAATAGCAACTACTTATTAAAGCAGAAGATATACAGAAGATAATTTAAATAACATTTGCAGCAAAACTTAAATTTTTTTTTACAGACCCAAAGCAAATATCTAAGAATATTATACAAATACTACTATTTAATTTACTAATCAGTTAGCATATATACATAAAAGCCATTGTTATTTTACTATATAAAATATTTTATTTTAATTAATTATTAGCTAAATATCTTAATAAACTAGATTTATTGTTAACAAAAATATCAAAACTAAACTTAGTAATTAAAGGTCTATTTTTAATTAAAAGCTATAACATACTACAAAACCTAGTATTTTATAAAAAAAGACTACAGAACTGATATAACTATATAACTATTTTATTAAACTATTTTAACCTTTTGCTTTCAAGACAACTTCTCTTATTAGCCTACTAAAACCTTAGCAACAAATATAGACTTTATTTTTTAATCAATATACAAAACCAAAATACAGACTTGATACAGTAGTTAAGAAAAGATTACTATTTTAAAAATATTCCAAATGACTACTTTAAGACCAAACTACCATTTTTAAAAAACTTAAAAAAAATACATACTCAGGATACTTTTGCATTTTCAATATAAGAAAATATAATTACAAAATATTTTGTTAAACAAAATTTTTTTGTTTACAAATTTTTATAATCACAAACTCTACTGAGAAATCTTGGCTATCTAATAATCTACAACTTATTAATAACTACAATATTAATACACCTATAATTTCAAGAAAACAGTAAGGATGTTTAAAGAAAATTATTACTTTATCAAATTTCAAATACTTGAATACAAATAAATGAATCTACTAATAAATCTAATAAAGAAAACACAACATCTAATGCTAAACAACAACTTGACAAACCAATTATTTTTAACATTTTACTGGCTATTGTAGAATACTTAAAGACAAAAGGCATAAATAATACACATAGCAATTTTCATTGTAGAATAAGTAAAAGTTAACAAAACTCATAAGTTTTTTTATTAATACTTTACTGTTAAACCTATTTCAAACAAAATTTTTTTATTGTCATTACTCCTAGTTTTTAATTAGAATATTTTTAAATTATTTTCTTTTTAATAACTTAATATAACTTAAATATACTTACTACTAATAACAATATTACAACAACTATTTTATAACTAGAGAAACATTCAAATAAATCAAACCCACTCAAATTTAATCTAAATAAAAAAATTAACAAAACTATTTATAATATAAAAAATATTAATAATATATTAAAAATTCAAACTTAAATTAAATATTATGCAAAATCATACTTGTATATAATTTTTCTTATAGAAACTAAACTAAAAAAATTAATAACAAGATTATTAACTTATTCTTTATACAAGATCTCATTTTAAATTTTATATTATATAAACTAAACTAACATGAATCCAGTCTAGAAACTGTACTAATAATCTGTAATTAACTACAACTATATATTTACAAAATTAATACTCTTTTAGAAACTGCAATCTGCATTTACTTTTTTATTTCAAACAATAACAAATCTTGTATTATCTCAATTTACATTTTCTCAAATCATTCATTTCTTTCAAAGTGTATTTAGTTTTTAATTACTTATTTGAACTACACAAACTAAAGCAAAAAAATTTGACAAATACATAATTTTGAAAACAAAGTGAATAAATTAAGTTTTATACAAACTAAAAATACTTAGACTTTAAAGATAACATTACTCTATTACTAATTAACAATTTTCTCTTTATCACATTATCAAAAACTAGAGGCTTATCAACTATTCTAGCAAAAAATAACTCAAAAATAAAATAGTTCTTACCTTTCTCTTTCTTACTTAGTTTCTTCAACATGTATTTTATATATAAATTAACTAATTAATAAAAAGATAGAAAAAATAATTTTTTTTTAAAAAAAAATATTATTAATTTTGCTATATAAAATTATTAATTTTTTATTTAGTAAACTAATTTAAATAAGTAATCTTCATTTTATTATACAATTAACTTTAAATATACTAATAACTATACAGACTGTCAATCTTACTATAAAAAAATATAACTTATACTATTTAGAATAAGATTAACAATTTGTATAACTATTAATATATTGAGAATTAAATATAAATTTTTTTCTACATAATAATCATAGTTGTAATTTTGAAAGTTTATAAACTAAAGTTATACCAAAGTGCTTGTATAATTAATTTATAAATATATTAAATAAAATTTATTTTTTTATTTTTTTTTAAAAAAAAAAATTAATTGACTTGAAACTTTTTTTTTTAAACAATATATATTAAAAATTAATTTGATTTTTTAATAAATATGTTTTATAAATCCTCAAATATTAAATATATTTATTTAATTACAAGTTAATATGGGATGGGGTCCCGTAACCTAGTGGTCTAGATGCCCCTCTCTCCACAGACAAGATCAATGGTTCAATTCCAACTAGAGGCAACTCTGTAATCTATGGAAGCATATGAATGTACATGAAACCCTGTGACTAAGTCCATGTGATTAGAAGATCAGTATATAAGGAAGTTCCTAGAAAAAAGATTTCTGATATGGAGAGTTGGCACTTGATACGAGAGAAATGGTGAACATACCAGAAATGGAGAGAAGGCACACTAATGGGTGATACAGTAAACATAAAAGGAAACTATGGAAAAGGAATGGACTTATCAAAATTCAAACACTTCTGACACCAAACTGGTTCTAGTAGATACAGGATATACTAAAATTGGATAAATCTAAGGGGTAATCTTGATACCATACTTAGTAAGTTTGCATTGAGGGTAAATTTGAAAGAACTATGAATACTTAGTAACATCCAATGAGGTGAGACTTAGATATAAATAGTAATTAGGTAACCCTAACCTGTTCTGTCATAAACATGATGGTATATATTGTATATATATGCAGTTAAGTGTTGAAAATCAGAAAGTTTAAAATAGGAAACTCACAGGCGGGTCTCAGATATGGCATCTAGTGGGTAACCTATGGACAGAACCCTTAATTAGATAATGACTAAAGTTATACGTGTGACTAGTTGTACTTTCGTTGATATACTCTGTATATAATATGTAATCTTATACTACTACTAATAAAAAGACACACAGGCGAGACTGCCCTTAAAATTAAAAAAAAATTGCAAGTTAATATGTAAAAATTTTATGTAATTACATTTAAATTCAAATGTATCAAGTTGGTATATCATGCTTAATAAGATGACCAATATTTAGAAACCAAGTTTAGAATATGTTTAATTGCTTATTCTGAATTAATAAAGGATTTGTCTCTTATATAAAAATTAAGAATCCTTCTCTTTAAAAAAACTTATCGTATTGTTGCAAATTACGCTCAGATGTTATTTTGAGTGCTCAATTTCCAAAGAACTAAATTTAGTTTTTGATTCTTTTTTTTTAAATATCTTTGTAAAATCAATTTTTTGGCATTCCAGAAATTGTGTCTCAAAATAACGACACGAGCATTATTTTGCGACTATACAAAAAAATAATAAAAAAAACAAATAAATTTTTTAAAAAAAACTTTAGGAGAAATGTAAGGTCTAGATATAACGTGACTGCACCCTAACGCTGGGACTGTTCCTGATTTGGAGATGATACTAGGTGGGGTTTATTTCACTGAAAGCCCATTTCATCGACTAGTTTTTTTTTTAAGTTGCTCTAACATCAATTCTAATTCTAACCGACCTTAACGAAAATGATTAGAATTAATTTGTTGATGAATGGCTGTCGGCGAATTGACTATTGATAAAATAGTAGGGATGGTAGAAAATCGCTTTTTAATGATTTTTATGATTTTTAACCTGATTTAATAAAAAATTTTAAACCATTGTTGTTTATGGCGCTGATGGATGAAGCTAAATTACTGTATATAATATGCTAATTTCAGCTTCAGTGTCGCCATGAATTTTTTATTTCCTAATCGAAATATACGATAATTTGTGTTGCAAAAAAAGTCAGAAGATTAGAATTTATAATCATGATCAAAATCATATCATTATTATTAATCATGTAAAAATCGGGTTAAACCAATATAAAACTGATTTAAAACAGAATGTTTTAAATCATTTGCCATCCTTATGAAATAGCTGTCAGTGAAGTGATTGTCGTCGAAATGAGCACCACCCGTTATTGACTACTACTATGTACGTATACAGACCGATTACTATGAAAAAATCTGCTGATACAGTATCGTATGTTTGTCTTGTTGTATGACGGTAACATACTTGGGCTACCTAAGTAATACAATGAACAAAACTTGATTTATGTATATCGCATACCTAGTAGTACACTATATAGTTATAAATATGTAATCGCTTCGGACTACAATATTTAAAATTGTTCACTATCTTGAACCGTTCTTTAATATGAAATTTATTTTAATATTTATGATTAATTTTTACATCTGTGGAATAAATGCATTTATTCCTCCTCCAAGGGCAGAAGTAACTTCAAATCTTGTTAATAATAAAATATACTTTAATGGTGGATGGAATGGCAGTTCATCATCCGACTTTTTTTCCCTTGATGTCTCAGTATCTTTTACAACCAATGATATAGCATTGATGCCTTGGACAGATCTTTCATTTATTCCAGGTCTAATAATCAGAAGTGGGCATGCAGCATGTATGCATGGAACAAATAACAATTTGATTGTTTATATTGGTGGGGCCATGAAAGAAACTGATTCAAATTTTACCTCTGTATTTGACATTACTACACAAAAATGGAGTATACCAATAACGTCCGGGAATCTTACTTCTATAGTACGAGCTTATATTCATTGTGTTTCTTCAGGAAATGGAATATATGTCTATGGTGGAGGTGATAGTGTATTTAGTATGGTGAAATTAGATGTATCAAATTTTGTTTGGTCAACATTACCTGGGATAATGGCACCTCTTGCGTCTGAAGGTTATAGTGCTACACTCCTAAACGATACATCCATATTATATATCGGAGGCGGTCAACATTTAAGAACGGCAAATCCAGAATTTTCATATCTTTCAATGGACAAGGTTTGCGACTTTAATTCCTTGACTGTATTTGTATAATGTCTTTCTAATTGGTACTTTATTTAAATAGTTATCATTATATAATATGAATGATAATACTTGGAGCTTAGTCGTAAGTTTTATCAAAAGTTACATTACGGTTAGGCAATATCGATATATGTAAATCAATTTTATAAAATTACCTAACTCGAAAGAAATTGTTTCTAGCTATATACGTTACGTATTAGGGATAAATAAAAAGTTGCTTATGACCGATAAGTTTTCGGCTCTATTAGTGCACAGGTGGAAGTTTCATAAGTAAACTTTAATAATTTTTGCAATGCATTCATTGCTACTTTTATTGTTATATTTATGGGACAATCATCAAGATTATGAGTCAGAATCCATTGGAGACTATATAAGATAAAATTTATCAATTCCGACCAGGATTCTATCCAGAGTTTTGAGGATATTGCGTATATCGATATGCTATTTATTTTGTTAAATAAGATAAATTAAGATAGATATGTTTATCCGTCTTTGCTATAATATTTAGCTAATGATAGCTTGATTTATATTTATATAAATTCAGTTAACTTCGGGGAGCATTCCATCACCTCGAATTGACCACGGAGCAGTCTTTATACGTGAGTGATATAATCAACTTTGGATATAACCAACCTTTTTATAATGAACTTTTTTAACAAACATATTATGAAGTTCTAAATAACAACATAATAAATTCTTTATAAAGAATTTTTGAAAAAAATTTCACATATAGTCTCCCAAAAGTTCGTTATATCCAAAGTTAACTGTATATCGTTAACCATACTTGCTCTCATTAATAAATAAATTATTTTTCTTCTAAATGTAGCTCAATATAACCAAATTTTAATATTTTATGGATCTAATGATAATTCAATTATGGCACTTGACACGTTAAAATTTGTGTGGTCAGTTGCTGCTATTTCAAATATCGGTGGTTCTTCATCTAGCCTGTATAGTTTTTCTTCAACTCTAGTTGGAGCTTATGTCCTTATTGCATTTGGAAGATATAGTAAGCATATCACTATATTACATATTAATATATAAAATTTCTTAAAATGATAATTTAACCTTTAAATTTCAGATGATTCCGTGCATCCTGCCACAAATAACATTTTTCTTCTTGACGTAAGTCAAAAAGACAATTATAAATGGGTTACTGCATACGATCCTACCAAAAGGCTCCAACCTATTCAGCCTATTCCTACTACTTCAACTTCTACTAATTCATCTAGCAATATTGCCTTAATTATTGGTGGCATATTTGGTGGATTAGCAGGACTTATAATATTAATAACAATTGCTGTGCTTATTGTCAAAAGATATGGGCATCCTTCTCAATTATATGAACAAGAAATATCAAGTAACCAACCAATATAATAATAGATAAATTACATATTTTACAAATTTATAATATATAAATACTTTCAAGTTATTTTTTTCTCATTAAGTTATCTGTCTAATAAGTGCTTTTGATCGAGACCTTTCTTAACTTTGTTACTATTAAAATATTTACGTTAAGATGAATCTATTAATATAGTAACTTGTGTTTTCAAATTCTTAGAATTAAAACAATAAATTATTTATTTATGTCATTATTTATTAATCTAAAAACCAGCGCATCAACAATATATTGCTATAAATATGGGAAATATTACTATTTGAGTGACGAAAAGGGAAAATCTGTACGTAATCATTTCACTCATTAAGTGAACAGGTTTTCCTTTTTCGTCGCTCATCTAAAGTAAATATTGTAACAGCCAATCAAACATATTGATTTTATATATAAATTAATCACGTGGTCGGGCAGACGGACGTCAGGTCTCCTGACACCTACCAACCCTACCTATAGTTGGTGGTAGAATTACTGAATTACGGCATTACGGCATTTTACCACATGGTAGAATTAATTACGGTATAGCCGTAATGTGACGGAGCCAAATTCAGAAAATCGACCAAAATTCTGGGTCGGTATTGTTATCCGGAGAAGTCACGTGGCACGTGACCACAGCTACTTCAAATTAGGGTAACCAGGCCCACTCAGGCTACTTCGGCTATGTAGGTCACGAAGGCCATGTAGGAGTTGGGACGATGTAGTGGAAGTAGTAAACGTGGAATGCCAAATGTAAATAAAGAATTATATGATAAATGAAGGCGGTGAAGGATCCAGAGTAGACACTCCGAACTCTATTAAAAATAATATCTGGCCCTTACATAATAATAAATACATAGACGTCTTCCTTGCTACATTAAATAATCGCTCAATCCCGACCATAAAAACCCGATTCTTGCAATTATCTGTTCTTACCGAAGTATTGTTACATTCCCATCCGGCTGTTGTATTCTAAAGTACTAGGATTATAGATGTGCCATTTATATGATATCTGGATTTTTTTCGCGTACAGTGCATATAGTTGTATAGTGTGTATAGCACACGTAATACATATAATAGATGTAGCATTCATAAATCAGTAATTTGCAACATTGTGCAATAAATGATTTTTGTTAGAATGCGAAAGACACATTTCCATAATCAAAAATTTGAGATAGGGATACTTTAATGATTTGTTCTGGAATATTCTAAAAATTTTTTTGTGTACTGTACTGTATGCAAAAATACCGTTTCTGATGGATCGTCGGTACCGATCTTGATGGAGTTAAAAAAAATTTTTAATGAGTACTGTTCCTGATGCAAAAATACCGTTCCTGATGGATCGTCGGTACTGTTCCTGATAGAGTAAGAAAAAATATTGATTTACACATACCGTTCCTGATATGGTTCTAAAAAAAGGACCTATAAAATACTATACTACTATTGCAAAATATATGAAATGTTAGGATTAGGGTAGTGATACAAATTGAAATCGAAATTAATCGATTAGTTGGTTATTTGACAACTAATCGACTGAACTTTTTAGACACCAACTAATCGATTAAAGAATAATAAATTAGTTGCATAGAATCGATTGAAAATTCATCAATTTACTTAATAAATTAGTTGCTCTAATCGGTTAATTAATTAGTAGATCAATTGCAACTAATTGATTAGTTGCAATCAACCGAAAAATTAATGACCAACTGATCGATTAATGATTTGTAACACTAGGTTAGGATTCGTCTATCAGGAACAGTACTCATTAAAATGACTGAGGTTATACTTGTTGTTCAATTGTGAGGTAATTAAGAATAAAGTTAGTAGAAATCTCAAGAGAGGAAAACCCAAGACAAGAAATACATATGAACCCAAACCATCGACAAAATCTAAACACCTCTTTCCGACTAAGCCAACTAGGGATGGACTCGGTCGGTTACGGTCGGTTATCGGTCGGTTATTACCGGCTAGCCGTTCATAGCCGGCTAGCCGCGGCTATAGCCGATCAATTATTTAATTATTACTTAATCAAACATCTAATTAAGTGACAAACCAACTGTAAGTTGGTTTAATAATTCATATCGGTGGTCTGCATCATCTGATAAATAGAAAAACCATTATTATAATTTTGGCCAAATTTGCAGATCATTTGGTCAGATTTAAAACAAAACAATTTCAGATCTGGTCAAATGATCTGCAAGTTTGACGAAAATTATAACTGATGATTTTCTATGTATTTATCAGATGATCCAGATCCGCCGATATGTTTAGCACTACCAAAGTTAGACTGAATTGATAATTAATTTCACCAAAATCGCTAGTTGAGGCCCGGAAATTAAGATTTCTGCATTATTTAGGATAATATTAAGAAAACAGAAGTCAAGAGTGATTGAGCGAAAGATAGGTATGTTAGATAAAAGACCTAATTGTTATATCGGATATGCATATAATAAGTGAAAAGTAACTACAGTGCATGATACTCAAAACTACAGTATTTTATTTTCAGATCATTAGTAGTTAATACATCATAAAATTAAAATTTTATTATTAAGTAAGGTTGTTAAGCAGATCAAAATATATATATCCTGTAAGTTTTATTTAAAGCGGCCGATATTCATACCTAATTTTGTATTCGTACCTTCTGTATATTAGAATTGTTTAACTTTTATGTTTTGATAGTTACCAAGTCAAATATGATAATTTTTTTTTGTTAAAATTCTTCATATTTTAGAATTTAAATAAAAAAAATTTATCAAGTTTGACTTAGTAATTATCAAAATATCTTTGCTTAAAGTTTCAAAAAATCTAAAGGATTTAAAAATTAAAGTCATACTAATATTTTTTAAAATCTTGAATAGAGATATTTTGATAATTATTAAGTCAAATTTAATAATTTTTTTTTTATTTAAATTTTACAAATTTGTAAAATTTAAATTAAAAAAGATTTATTGATTTGACCTTATGGTTATCTAGTTTATAATTATTTATAAAATTTTTTATTTATTTAATTGTATAATATAAATTAATAATTAAAGGTAGTTAAATAAATAATAAATTCAATTTTTAATAAACTATTAATAAGTTTTATTATTTAAAATAATTTTTATTTTGTATATTTATAATTAATTAAAAAATAAATATAAATTAAAATTTAAATAAATTATTAAGAAAAAATCTAGTAGAAAAAATCATATTTAAAATATAAATATATAATAAAAAATATATATATAAATTAAATAATTTAAATAAATATAAATAAAATAATATATATTAAATAAATATATTATATAAAATAAATAATAATTTTAAATAAAATTATTTAATATTTTTTGATAACCAACTATGTAAACATAAACATGTTCTTACAGATTCACTATTTAATCTATTCCTTGATTTGTTAATTATTTGACCTGCAATTGAAAAAAGTTGTTCACATGGAACTGAACTAGCTTGAATACATAAATAATTACAAGCAAGTTTTGAAAGTGTTGGATATTCTGCTGTATAAGTATTCCACCAATCTAAAAGATTTATAGTTTCATCTGCTTCTGCAAATAACCAATATTTTTTAACTTCATCATCTAATGTTTGTGTTTGTTGTAATGTATATTTTAATTTTTGATAAAAACTTAATAATTTTTTAGATTTAATTATTGTTAAAGGTAATTGTTGATCTAATTTTTTTCTAATTGGTGTTAAAATTTCTTCAATACTCATATTAGGAAAGTAATTTTTTTTGTATCTAGGATCCAAAAAAGCAGAAGTATGTAAAGATTCAGTTATTAAATTAAAATATTCAATAAATTTAGATAACATAACATCAATAACATATTGTAATTGAAAGTTTTTACCCTTATCTTGTTCTAATTCATTTCTAAGAACTAATAAAATTATTTGTGCATATGCAATTGTTGGATAAGATTGTGATAAAAGTTCAATAGTTGCTTCATTAAATTGTTCTAATAAATGAACTAAACTTTCATAAATTTTCCATTCTTCTTTGTTTGGAATATAAGTTTTTAGATTTGGATATTTAATTAATAAAATTTCTATAGATTCATAAATTAAATATGCCTTTTTAATCATATGATAAGTTGAATTTCATCTAGTTTTACAATCTAAAATTGGTACTAAAAAGATTGATTATCTAATGTTGTAATATTTTTTAAATCTTCAAAAATTTTAGTTGATTTACGAATAATTTAAATTAATTGTCTTAGTTTTTTAATTGAATTTTCTAAAAAATTTAAACCAACTAAAACAACTAAATTAAGTATATGAGCTATACATCTATAATAACAAAAATTATTAGAATTTAATTTATCTTGTAAATAATTTGCTGCAGAAATTATATTAGCACCATTATCAGTAGTTAATGCAATAACTTTAGTTTCAATTTCACATTTTTCAAGTAAATTATATATCTTATCAGCAATAATTTTTCTAGTATGAGAACCCTTAAATTAAAATATATCTAATACAAAATATTGTAAATTCCAGTTTTTATCAATAAAATGAATAGTTATTGCTAAAAAAGATTCCATTTTTAAAGATGTCCAAAAATCAGCTGTAAGAGCAACTTTACTTAAAATTTCACTAAGATAATTTTTTATCAAATTTCTTTGTTCAAAAAATTGATTTATAGCTAAATTATAAATAGCTTTATATTTAGAAACTTGATAAAATGGATCTAATTTTTGTATCATATTTTGAAAAGCTTTATTTTCTACTACTTTAAATAGTTTAAGAGCTAAAATAATCCATTCAAAAATAGCTTGAGTTTTTTCCATTTGAATTTCTGATAAATATTTTTTAATTACAAAATTTAATTGTTCTTTATTTAATAATGTTTTATGTTGTGATTGTAAATGAGATTGAATAGAATTGGTTGCTGTTGTTGGTGCAAATATTTTAGAACAATAAAAACATTTACAAGTTTTTTTATCTACATGTTTCCAAACATCTGATTCAGCTTTAATAACTAATTTAAGTTGTTGAGATAATTCTAAATTTTTATTCAAATCTTCTTCATTTATTGTAGTAATTTCTTCAAAACTTAAATTTTGTATACTTTGTATAATGTTTTTATCATCTTGTTCAATTTTAATATTATCATCATCTAAATCACTAATATAAATATTATTACAAGTTGCATTTGCAAATCTTCTTCTTCACTACATTCTTCAGGTGTATTATATGAATTATT